AACTGCTACCTGGCAGTAGATTCTCTCTCTGCTTATGCAAATTTATCTTTTACATTTCTGCCAATTCCACAGCATTTATTCCAACATATTACTCATTAATTCCCATAAACACATTCAGTATTATCTTTTTGCTAGATTTAAATCTGTTACATTCTCATTCTTCTGTATACACTAAGCAGTCTATTGCAAAAAACTGCCTAGAACTCTCCAGCACCTTTGCAGAAGCAGCTTTTCCAGATTTCCAATCATTTTCATCATTAATTTGTATATCTTTCCTATATTTGAATACTTTTAACGTTTTCCTCTACCCAGGATGAACCAGGATTAACACAGCACTTCAGGTAAAAGTAGCCACTGCCTTACTGGTTCTCACTCCATTCCTTCTGCTTCATGTTTTGTTTCAATGTCTGTCCACAGTGATATACAGGATAAAAGGAATTTGCAACACAATAGGTGAATGATTGAAAGTATTCGCCCTAGTGGATTTTTAAAAAATTAATTTCATCTGCAGCTACACTGCTTATTTATTGCAAGTTGCTTTCTCTCACAATAGTCCAGCTTTCACTAATCTGAATAACTATTTTTAAGCCTCAATATTTACAATTCCAATTCTCTAATTTCCACCTCTTTGCATCCTGACTAATCAGCTATCTTTTTAAGTAAACAGTTTGAGGAAATCTGGGAAAAATTACTATAAAGCTTATATGGAAGTTTTCCTAAACAGAAGCCATCAGTGGCCTAAAGAGGATACCTCCATCATCAGATTCCTACCATCTGATGGAAACCATTCCCATCAGTAACGCTGGCAGTCTGGACCAGCAGATTTACTGAAAGTCACCAAGTGCCCTAGGGCACACCAAGATGCATGCCATACGTTCAAAACAAACAAGATGAGACTCTTCTTCCTGCAATACATACTTAAACAGCAGAGCTTATTGCTACAAGGTGCTGTAGAAGCTAAAAGATTACAGAAGTTCAAGAAAGGGATGAAATTCATGATGGAAAACAATAATCCATCAAGGGCTCTCAGATGGAAGGACCATTTCTGGCTGAGAAAATCCTTGAGACACAACGGCTGAAGGTTAGAAGCAAATACTGGGAAAGTACTGCTACCAATACACCCTTTTCTCAGGTTTTTTCAAAGCATTTGGTGCTGGCCTGAGTACTTCTTTTAGGGACAGCACCATCCCACCTTTGACAGAGGTGCGAGACCTCTCATGGCCTTCCTTGGGAAACAGGGAGTGTCTAAGGGAAAATTTAAACAGGAGAGAAAACAAGTGATCTCTGGGAGACTTCTCTCTGGGTGATAAAGAGATCAAAAATGAAGAAACAGGGAAGTCCAACAGAGTATCTGCTGCTCCTGAGATGTGCAAGGCTGTCCTTGTTCCATCTCCTGAGACGTGCAAGGTGCTGCTAAGCGGCAAGACTGGCTCTGCAAGTGGAGACAGCCTCAGCTGGCACCAGCAACCCCTGCAAATCTCCTGCTTCCTAGTGCTGGGGCTGCTGGCAGGGACATAGCACTGGGGACAGGACGATGTGCATGAAGGAGCTTTTGCCTGGCCCAGTGTGGCTCTTGCTGTGGTCAAGTGCTCAATAATACTCTTCTGCCCAGAAATCAGATTTGGACTATGCACTAACAGTCTTCAAAAATCTGGTCACATTTACTTCCATGCTTCATCTATAGATGTGTGAACCCTTTGTTTTCAGAAGCTATTTGAAAAGACTTCACATTTCACGGTTTTCTCCAGTTCTCGTCACCTACCAATTCTGCAGACCTATGACAAGCCATGCACTTAAAGTTTTAAATTATATTAATCTAAGTATGTGGAAACATGCAGTTTTCTTCCATGGAAAAGAATAAAACTTGAAGGACATACATTTTAGAGCCCGTGGTACATCCTGCGGCTTATTGCAGAATACAGGTCACCCCCTTGCATCGAGGGGTGGGAGGTGAAGTGAGAATGGCTATCAATTTATGAAATGCAGCTAACAAAGCATTTTCTTTTTTTTTGAGAGGCAAGTCCCTATAATGCAAGACTGAAAACCTCTTCTATTTTAACACACTCGCTGCCAAGATAATAAATGAGGGCTGATACTTTTTCAGCAGGGCATTTTCATCTGCTCTGAGGCTTATGTTGCGTGACTTACTGACTTCAACTTACTTTTCCAGCAAAGAGATTTTCCTCACCACAGGCAACATCCGTCCCTCACAAAAGGTCAAGCTGTAAGCAAGCAGACAAGCTGGCTTTGCAGAGACTGGTTTTAAATGTATTAAACCACAGGACCAGCACCTTGATAACCCACTCTATGGAGCATAAGATTATACCTACACCCATTTTAGAAGCTGATTTCTGGTCAACTGCCCTTCTGTACCATTTGATAGCTTGCACATATATTTCTGCATTTAATTTCCCCTGGAGTGCCTGCAGCTATTGGGAGGCGTGAGATCATGGATATGTATTTCAGCCAATACTCATGACCAACACTGGAGCAGGGATCACCTGTTCTCTCCTCTCAACTCTTTCTGTTCTATTGCTTTTTCTCATGAAGCACCACAAATTAACACACCAGCTACAGACAGGTTTTGAACCTGCCACCAAGGCAGTCAATTCCAACATGTTCATCAGCACATCCACACTGTACTTTTATTATTTTCACTGGGCATGTGGTATTTGGGTTTTTCCTTCCCTTGCATGTTTCTAGCTTCCATTTTTTTTCTAACCCAATCAGCATTTTATTTGGTCTATGGGTTATAACAAATCCTGTCCTCATTTACATCATTTCTGTACTCTCCAATGTTTGCAACTTCATTCATTTTAGGATTCGCTCCAAATTTAACATCTTTACACATCCTGAGTAAACACTCTGTAAAAAAATTAAGACAACTCACAAACTTAAAAAAAGAAGATAAATAAAGCAGGACCTGACAACATCATAAATGCTTCAATCCCTTATTAATCATTAATAGAAACCAGACCAAAATCACCAATATGTAACAGACCTTGATATAATTCTAGTAATTTGATAGCTAATTATAATTAAAAGCAGGGTAATACAACACAGGGAAGTGCAGAAAGGACAGCGACATCCTGATCACAAGCTGACCAAAAGTCTCTGAATAAATAACTGACTGAATTGGGCCTACATGAGGCAATACCAGCAACTTCCCCCTTCCCACCCCGCATATTCAGCATTACTCCTAAAGCCCACTGGGTTCTCCTCCACACAGGAACAGTCTTTTCTGGTGCACATCTGTAAGACAGGTGAAAAGCACGCTAGCCCTGGGGCATGCTTTGTTGCACACAATATGGGTATCCAGGTCAGTGTAGGAGCACTGGAAAAAATTCAAAATAATGTTTACAGTGTTTGCATGGGTTGCTTTTTTTGTTATTTAACACTGTACCCTAGGCTCAAATGCCCTGAGCTCTGGGACTGCTATGTGACTCAGTCAAAACCTGACAAAGGCAAGGACCTCAGAATACCCCAGCACCGCCCAGTGGTCCATCAAAGTCCCTTAAAGAAAAGAGGCTGTGTTAACGGTTATATGCTGGGCTGCTGGGCAGGGAAACAACTTCACGCTCTTAGAATAACAACTCTTTCACATCTCACCTCGTGTTCTTTCTACTTCTATATGCCAGTTCCAATTTTCACCATTTTACTGATTCAAGATCTAATAACATAAATTACTGGTAGTGAAATTTTTTTGTGTCTGGGACCAAATCTACTTTCAAAAGTACAACAGAGAATGAAGTCTGAAATTACTTAATCTACTGAAGAAATCATAACTACTTGAAATAGCATGATCCTAGATTTGAAAATGAAGGAAATATTCATCAATAATGCAATACTTACGCAACATTAAGAAAAGAAAGCACACAGGAATTTCTAAATTATGCATATTGTCCATGCATTTTGAGAAAACATACTTAAAACAGCCACATCACCTACTTACAGTCTTCAACCCCACATTATCAGATCAGACTAGTATCTTGTAATTTTAACTAAATCTAAACCAGTGTTTTTTGAGATAGAAAAGGTCAAAGCCTTGAAATTCTCATAATAAACAAATAGAAAGTTGCAAAAAAGGTCACAGGCAAGTATCTGAATTTAGACAGGTGTATAACATCATTAAAAAGACCCAAAAGACACAATAGAAAGACGGTAGTTGAACAATCATTACTGTAGTTTGACTGGGGATAAACACAGGCAAGCAAATAAGGGAGAACTTTTCTTCATTAAAAAAAAAAAAAAAAAATTACTCCATTCTAGTTACTTTAAATTTCTGGTCTATGTCTGGTATGTTTGATACTTTCCCTAGTTCATTAATTATTTGATTTAAACTATTTCTCATCCAGATTTACTTGCTTAAGTAACTTACCAACTAATTTGATTAGAGCACAATCCTTTAGATGACAGCTATTTAACTACACATCTTGGATACATGCACTGCAAGTGTGTCTTTTATTTAGACCCTGAAAATATGGCAACTGCATCAGCCTCATTTAATTTGTCCTTGACTTCCATTATTCAGCTGTGCTAATGCCAACAATTCCAGTTTGCAGAAGAGAACAATTTTCTTCTCTGCTTAAAACTGTTTTATCAAATAATAATTTTCCTTAAAGCAGTAATTTCTGACTCCATCTAATTCTTGCTGCCTTAGACAAGCAAGACATGATTCAACCTTTCCTCAGCACAAACCATAATCCAAGCTGGCAGTGCACTGGGGTTCATGATCTCTTATGTGACACGATCAAGGCTGAAAGCATCACCAACAAAGCCTCCTCTCTGTCCAACAGAATACAAAGAGTTCATTCAATTGTCAGAAGCCGTAAGTGAATAAAACACCAAATACATATATACATACATATAAATATGCACACACACATGCACAGAAGCAGAATAGACAGCAGAAATACTGTTCAAGCTGACTCAATACGCATGATTTGGCTACCCTTGGTCATTATCCAAAGATATCAACAAAACCCAAAGAGCTTCCTCACCTGTGGCAAGTGTAACTGAAGCCCCTCGCTGGGAATGGGCTGTCGAGATGGGGTCTGGTCCAGCTGCATGTTAAACAAGGATGCCAGGGCTGACTGAGCGGCCCGAGCTTTTGCCAGCTTTTTATTCCTTCCTGAGCCTTCAAAAGTCTGACCGTCCACTGCCACCGCCATGACAAAGTTTTTGGCATGGCTCTCCCCACTCTCCGAGAGAAACTCGTATTTCAGCCCTGGCCGCAGCTCATTGAGGATCATGACAGGATTCTTCCCGCTGGCGGAGGGGTAGGGCAATGGTGCAGGGAGAGGCGACTGGGAAAGGCTGCTGGCTACAGCAGACGACGGCAAACCGTAGTCCCCACTAGAGCTAAAGGACCCATCCCCGTTGGACCCTAGGTAAAAGGAAGCATCAGAAGGGACTGGTGTTTCAAACCCGTTGAAAAGGGTGTCAGGGAAGTCTGCTTGGTCAGAAGTGAAATCTGTGTTGACTGACAGAGTCCTCCCCATTGCCAGGTGGGCTTCCGAGGCATTTGGGAACTGGACAAAAGACCGCAGAGCCTTCTCAGCGGCGTGAAGCTTGGCTTTCTTTTTTGTTGGGCCAGATCCCTCAAATACCTGCCCGTTGACTTCGACTGCCATCACGAACATGGGGGCATGGACCGGCCCTGTCTGGGAGAGGAGTTTGTACTGTAAACCAGGCTTAATCTCATTAAGTTGCATCAGGGCATTCTTTGGCAGAACAGGGCCAGGTGTTTTCTTCCTCTTCTTCAGGCGAAATTTGGAGTTGCCCTCCTCCAAAGGACGCTTTCTGCTGCTGCTGCTACCACCGTTGGAGAGCTGTGTCCCCTCCCCAGTGCCTTGCCCACCACCGTCCTTGGGGGGAACGTTGTCCACGTTGCGATTTTCTTTAACATCGGTGCTGCTCGAACCTGCGGTGCCCAGAAAGAGTAACTTACAATGCCTTCGTTGCAGGATCTTGTAAATGCAAAATTTATAGATTCCTTTATCTTTCTTTGTAACTGGTTAAGTGATGTGTGCTGACAGGTTAAATGTTTTGCAATATGATCATAGATTATAATGCAATACCACCTCTCAATAATTCAAGAAATAACACACTGAAGAATGATTTTCAAACTATGCATTTGATACAAACATATAGAAAAAAAAAAAGCCAACACTGCTGTGGGTTTTTTTTTGCTTTTAACTTATGACTAAAAGTTTTGTTCCAGCATGATTTAAGTGTGTCCTGAAAAATGCTTTAAGCCAAAAATATAAGTTAAAGTAGCATATGTCTATAAAACAAAGAACTACCATTAGTAAAATAAAATGGATGCTTAAGACCAGTACTAGGAGATGGATATTCAATTCTATTTTAGTCTTATTTTAGTCATGTTACATCCTTTTTCTCAGTGATTTTAGTTGCTCAAATTGAGAAATGACATAAATAAAACCTGAGCCATGAAAAATTAGAGAGTTCTTTGGTAGACACCTGGACCGAAGAGTGTTTTAAAGATTTTGTTTTTCTTTAGCTATTCCATATTCTCTGAGTTCAGTTCTTTTCTACGCTTTTTCTAGACATTGATTTCATGTCACCCCAAGTTGCTTAGGAACTACAGCTGCCCACTGTGCCAGCATGACCACAAGATATATATATTATATATTTGCAAGACAACTTTATATATTTTCACACAACCTTCTATTAAGAAACCTTGCATTCGTCATTTACAAGCTATTTTGTAACTTCTTGAAAAGTAAGAAAACTGCTGTCACAGAGTTGCAAACCCAAAAATAATGATAAAGACCCTCTCTTAAGACTATGCAGAAACAAGAAGCATAACAAAAGCTGCACAATCACAATGATAGTATTTTAATGGGAGAAAAAAGGCATTGTAATATGAATTTAATGATTTATTTTCTAAAGTAGAAGGTTGGGGTAATGATATGTCAGAGGTATATTTAAAGAATTATATTTGCTATAACTGCAAAGACCTCATTTTTACCCTGATAAAGAAACTAAGGAAATTAATTATTTTTGCTTTATATTGGCATATATGAATGAAAAGGCAAATTTAGTAGGTCAAGTATTTCTAACTCTTCTGTTCCAAAATTTCAGAATATCTATATTACATCTACACTGATACGAGGTGATAAATATTAATTGAAAGGAGAGCAAACCAAGGCGGAAGCTCTCTTTCACAGTGACAAATTTCAGCCACATTTGAAGTCTTCTCTAAGAATCCCCTACCACGCACACATCACTTCACCCAGGTTACAAAGCTAATGGAATAGTTACTAAATTTTCATTTATAACATCCTCCAGCAAAAGCTCAATAGGTTACTCCTTTCGGTGCTCAAAGAGAAAAAAAGAAGGAAAAAAAAAAGATCAAAAGAAAGAGCCAAAGTAGGAACACATTTTGTTAAATCACAGTAGCACAACAAAGAATTGTACAGTACTGAACATTAAATTCCAGTCAAATTTGGTCAATAATGAAACACTAAATATTTTGAAGCATTTAAATTGCTAGAAATCTGCTAAATTTAACAAAGTATCTCTTGCAACATTCAGCCACAAATTATATTGCCTGCAGAATGCATGCTATAGGGCCACAACTGTCAATACACAGTGTTCATGCATACATATTCTTTTTATATATATACACACATATATACAGACACACACACAGAGTGAAAGAATCTAAGGACAATAGAGTGATTTTTAAAATCTCTCCTTACAGTCAGTTTCTTACCTGAAGCTGTAATCTCCAAAAATTACATCTCATCTAAACCACCTTTCTTATTGAGCAATGTTGCAGAAATGAAGGGAAGAAAACTACTCCTTGCCTGAGAGCTACTAGACTTGTTAGCTTTGGAGAATCTGCAGGGTGGAAGAAACTAGGAGAGAAAGCAAGCAGGGAGCTAGCAGCCTGAGCAAAACCCAGAGACCATTAAAGTAGGCAAGTTTCTACATCATGGAGGTGATCCAAATCCAAGCCTTGCATGTGACAGAAAGAAAAAGACTTTCTGTGTGAGCCAGAAGGACCCAGGTTTGTTTCAACCCACAGAGTCACTGGACTGCAAAAAAGAGCAACTGTTTCTCAGGCTAAGGGTGAAGATGTGCTTTTAGTCCTTGTCTTTAGCTTGTCCTGCCCAGCAGTGGTGAGGTGCTCTAATTACCTTAGGGCTGAAGAAGATCTGACAGATTAGTCAAGAAGTAAGATTAGCTATCACCACCTGTTAAAGTTAGAGAAGTCATCTTTAATCTTGTCTATACTCAGACATGGAGTCGCTCCTCCAGAACAGCCTCTCCCCACTGTTCAGAAACAGGTCTCCCTTTTCCAGGCATCTCACCTTGTTAGAGAAGTTAAGAACAGCCTTACCAGCTCATCCTTACCTTGCCCAGCTCCCCACCTGTGACAGGGCCAGCAGCAGACCCCAAGAGCAAGGGGGAGCAGCCCTATCAAACCAGAGCAAGGACAGAGCAGCCTTTCCTCAGCTGCAGCTCTGGGCTTGTCACAGAGAGCACAGCAGGGAGCCACCAATGTTTTTTTTTTTCCCCTGGGCAACGTGTTTCACAATTCCATTACGCATTGCCTGAAAACACCTCCTATTGTTTGCTTTGAAATCTCATCTGCTAGTCTCACTTAATGCATCTATTGTTTTTTATGTGCTATTTTTTCAATTTGATGATATTAAACACCCTGTGCTGCACAAGACTTTACAGAGTTCTCTAGTATTTCAACTTTGTCATTCCTCCTCTACACCGCAGGGCTCTAACCATCCCTTGTCCTGAGGTCATCCTCTTCTTCTCAGAGAAGCTCCTTATTGCGCCTGCGTGCTTTCTGACACAGGAGGAGTGAACCCACAGCTGGATGCACAATAGATATGCTCTTCTTGCCCTATTCTGCAGTCTTTTTCATTCTGGTAATACACTGTTTTAGACAGCATAAGACTTTGGGGAGTTTCTCACTTGTTGCAAAGAGAAGGAGGGAGGGCATCTTCATCCCCCAAAAGCTCTGGCGGATTCAGGATCTCATCACAGCTCAAGCTGGGAGCATCAGTACTCAAAAGGAGCAAAATTTTGTTCCTCTAAAGCAGACAGGTCATGGCAGACGTGGACCACCACTCCATGCATGTTCTAAAAAACCAGTTTAGATCATTTTTCTAAAATATTAATACTACCCATGATTTGAGAATAAGACATTTTTTGTAAGACTAGCTCATTTTCTAATCACTAAAAACAGCTGGCAGCTTTGACTAGAGATTTGACTGGTGTCTATGGAAGCCGCCTTAGCAAAAATCATGGCTGACAGTGTCACATGCTAACAACTTCAGTGGAAGAAAAGTCCTGCCCCTGAAGTCTTGTTTGAGACGCTTACAAACCCAAGAGCACTTGAAGAAGGGAAGAGGCATAGGAAATTTTCATGCCAGTAAAGAAAGAAATCTTCCATACAAGTGTGTTACTTTATTTTTGGTTTTATTCCCTGAAGTTAAAAAGTATCTGTAGTTAAGATGCTTTATCCATTGGCAAACTTCCATTACCTGCTTGCTGAGACACAACACTCTCCCTGCTCTGTCTGATCTGGAACACACAATTAAATTTAGATGACTCTTAGCTGAACCCTTAGTTTCTAGCTACCTCTTACACTGTTCCTCTCATTTACCAGCCTAGTGAAATTCTAAGTCAGTCATTTATTCATAAAAAACAGGCAGAAAAAAAAAGGTGATCTTTTCTGAGCATCGTTTTAGAAAAAGAGGGGAAACAATCAAAGAGCAAGGTCAGGAGAGCCACATGTTAGTGTCCCAAGTGTTCTGCAAAATGTCCCACTTCTTTCTTGCCTGTAAGGTAATCGATAAGGATGGGCAACAGGGTGAATTTACACCTAGAAAATTATTTATTTCTACTGTATGGATACTTCTGCAGGGCACTCTGATTTGACGCCGAGATAACATGAAGATAAATGGGCTTCTGGCAGAGATTCCTGGTGTGTTCAGAGCGCTGCAGACATACCCTCCATGCAAATCATAGACTCATAGAATCACTTTGGTTGGAAAAGACCTTTGAGATCATCGAGTCCAACCTTTAACCTAACCCTGACATCCCACCACTAAACCATGGCCCTGACCACCTCATCTATCCTTCTTTTAAATACCTCCAGGGATGAGGACTCTACCACCTCCCTGGGCAGCCCATTCCAGAGCCTGAAAACTCTTTCAGTAAAGTTTTTCCTAATGTCTAGCCTAAACCTGCCCTGGCGCAGCTTCAAACCATTCCCCCTCGTCCTATCATCTGTTACCAGGGAGAAGAGACCGATCCCCACCTCCCTACAGCCTCCTTTCAGGTAGTTGTAGAGGGCTATCAGGTCTCCCCTCAGCCTCCTCTTCTCCAGGCTAAACAACCCCAGTTCCCTCAGCCGTTCCTCGTATGACTTGTGCTCCAGACCCCTCACCAGCTTTGTGGCTCTCCTCTGGACATGTTCCAGCAATGCAACATCTTTCTTGTAGTGAGGGGCCCAAAACTGAGCACAGTATTCGAGGGGCGGCCTCACCAGCACCAAGTACAGGAGCACGATCGCTGCCCTACTCCTACTGGTCACACTATTTCTGATACAGGCCAGGATGCCGTTTGCCCAGTTTGGTGTCGTCTGCAAATTTACTGAGGTTACACTCAATCCCCTCATCCAGGTCATTGATAAAAATATTAAACAAGAATGGCCCTAACTGAGCCCTGGGGGACACCGCTTGTGACCGGCCGCCAACTGGGTTTAGCTCCATTCACCACGACTCTGGGCTCGCCCATCCAGCCAGTTTTTAACCCAGCGAAGAATACATCCATCTAGGCCATGAAAGCAACAGAAAACCAAA